TATTTTTCTACTTTTCTAATTCAAATTGATAGATAAACCTATTTGTGATTAATATACTCTACCACGATTATAGCGAAGTCTGAAAGACAATCACAAAATACAAAGTTCAGTTACATTACAAAATGCATAGTGTTTCAGCCTCAGCCTCATTATTATTTTGCCGAAAATATTTTCAAAAAGTGCTTATAATAAAATTTAAAATAATTAAATTAAATTAAAAGCTTTAATTAAAAATGTATTGAAATTAAAAATAAATATTTTTTATACAAGTTTATGCGAAAAAAAATAAAAAGTAAATTGGAAGTAAAGAAAAAATACAAAATAATAAAATAAGGAGATAAAATGGTTCATTAAAATAAAAAAATAAATACATACTAAATTTTATCAATTTTCAACTAAAAACAATTATATTAAAATAAAAATTGAAGACATACATACATAAAAATACAAATAAAACTTCACAGATAAACAAATGAATTTAAATTTCAAATTAACATATGATATTAAAAAATCAAAAAAATAAATATATATATTTTTCATATACTTATAACTAAAATAATAAGCTAATATAAAAAAATATTAAAACAATTTAATTACAAAGTTTATTTATAAATAATAAAAATTAATTTTTTTTTTGTATAAATATCACAAAAATAGAAACACATTTATTTATGAATAATAAAAAATATTATATATATTTTTTTAAAACAATACAATTTAAATAACAAATTTTAACATTTCTTAAATTCAAACAGGTAATGGAACATTGGTTGGGCTATCAAATTTCACTGCGCCTACTCATCTCCGCACTACTCATACCGCTAATTTTACTCTCGTGGATACCGAATCTCAAATACCTCGCACCCGTCTCGATGATAGCCAATCTCTTTATGGGCGTCGGCTTGGGCATTACATTCTACTATCTCGTCATTGACTTGCCACCGGTAACAACACGCGAATTCGCCAATGTCTCTACCATACCGGCTTTCTTTGCCATCACCATATTCGCTATGGAGGCAATCGGTGTGGTTATGCCGCTGGAGAATAACATGGAGAAACCACGACACTTCCTCGGCATTTGCGGCGTGTTGAGTCAGGGCATGTCTGGTGTGACTTTGATCTATATGGCGCTCGGTTTTCTCGGTTATCTGCGCTATGGCACAAACACAGAAGAGAGTATTACACTGAATCTGCCCGTGCATGAGTGGTGAGTTGAATGTGTGAATGCTTGTAATGTATGCTTATTAATTTGTTGTTGTTTTTTTTATTCTTTGTAGGCCCGCGCAAGCTGTGAAAGTGTTGATCGCTTTGGCTGTGTACTGTACATTCGGTCTGCAATTCTACGTGTGCCTCGAAATTGTCTGGGATGGTATCAAGGATAAGTGCAAAAAGCGTCCATTATTGGTGAATTATGTTTTGAGGTGAGATTTTTTGAAAGTTTTTTATTTTGTTATGTATTTTATTTTTAGATTCAAAAATTTTAATGAAAAAAATTTTGTAATTATAAATTAATAATTGGGAATTGTAAATAATATTTTTTTAACATAAATTATAATTAATTAATTTTAATAACAATTTTGTTAACTGCAAGAATTATTATTATTTTTTGTTTATTTTAAGAAATTTTAAAGTTTTTTTTTATATTTTGAGGTGGTTTTTCTTTTGGAGATTTATGGATAATTATTTATATTATTATATATTTTATTTTTAAAAGAGAGAAAAGAAATGTTTGGCACCTCAATGAAATAATTTATCAATGAGTTAATATTATTTTGCCTAAATTAAAATTAAAACACTTTTTAAATTTTAGTTACACATTTTCTTAACTACAAAAAATGTGAGAGAGTCAAATAAAAAATACAAATCTTTAAATGTTTTTACATAAAAATTTTTTTTGTCTTAACTTTATTTTAGTTTTATTTATAAATTGTGGTTAACAATTTTTAAGTTAAATTAAATAATTTTCTTTTTAACTTCAAAAAGTGTTTTTTTTTATTTAACAATTTTATTTTTCTGGTTTGTTTAATTACATTTTTTTTTATTTTTACTTGTTTTTTTTGGAGATTAGTGGAAACTCATTTAATGCTTTATTAAATAAAAAAGGACATTAAATTAAATTTGCTTGTATATTTTATTTAATAATATTATATTTTCGAAATTTTTTAAAATTTTGCTTTTAATTCCAGAACCGTGCTCGTTACTGCCGCCGTTGTATTGGCTGTTTCCGTGCCCACTATTGCGCCATTTATGGGTCTGATTGGTGCCTTTTGCTTCTCTATACTTGGTCTGATATTCCCTGTAAGTACTCAATTACACACACTCACATACACAATTTTATGCTCTAAATATTTATTTATTGAAAAAAATTATTATTTTTTGCAGGTTTTGATTGAGCTCATCACCCACTGGGACACCGGTTTTGGTGCCTTCAACTGGATTCTATGGAAGAATGTCATTATTGGTTTCTGCGGTGTGGCAGCACTCATTTTCGGCTCCATGAGCGCTATCAATGACATTATCAAAGTGTACTCGAATGATCCCAATACTAGTGATGCTATACAAAACGCCCTCAACAACATTACAACAACCAGGCTTTAAGCTACAGTACACATATGTACATATGTACAGTTATCTTTAGCTGTGTGGAGAGTTTTTTTGTTTAAGAAAAAGGGCGCGCTTTTGTTGCATGTATTCGCACCGCCAAGCACTGCGTCACCATTATACCGTTGGATAATTTTATTGAATTTTAATTTTTTAGTATAAAGTACAAATAAATAATATATACATATTCGTTTCTAGTAGCTCTACAATGTATACCACATATGTATATAGTATATAACGTTATATGCCTGTATACATATGTATAGTTTAGACAGTGAAAATAAGGTGCAACTATTTTTTTTTTTTTTTTAGATTAAAAAGACAACGGAAACGTGTATTATGTATAGAAGTGCCTCTTTCTGTGTCTAGACAACATTTGTTTTAGTTATGCACACACATACAAGCAAATTTTTAGCATTACATTGCCATGTGGCAAATGTGCTGTAAGTAGTTGTAGTTAATAATTTCCGTTTATTCAATTCAACGCATCCTATATACATATATACATACATACATAGTAAGCGCTAAGTGAAATTGTAGTGGGATTCCTAATTTCCCACTAAATAGTTTTAATTTTGCTGCAAATATAAATGTATTGTATTTGTTATACATGTAATGATTACTAATTATTCATTATGTAATGATACATGTAATGATTACCTATTATTCATTATGTTTTATTGTTGCGAATTGCTTTTGTACACAAAATAAGTAGAAAACTTGAAAATAATTGTATTTTTTTATTGTTTTTTTTTTGTTTTGAAATATTTTTTGCTTTTGTTTTGTAAAATTTCACTAAATAGTATTCGATATCCGTAAGCCATCCATACTAAATTACTCAGCATATATTTTATTGAAATATTGTAACAAAAATATAGTAATTAAAGTAATGAAGTGAAAAATTTTAAATATTAAATATATTGCTTTAGGTTATATAAAAAAAATTGAAAAAATATATTTAAAAAAAAGGGTATTTTATATTATTTCTGTGTTAAGGGGTTGGACTTGTTTAGGCTTTTCAAAAAACTGAAAAAAAAAATTGTTGAGTTAAAGTGCACTTTAGGGTCCAAATAACTGTATTCAATTGGTAGAATAGTTGTAAAAAAAAAACCAGCAGTACTGGCAAATCGTTCGGATTAGTCAGGTTCAGCACATAAAGCTTTGCATGTTTTTTGCTCGAAACTGCATATTTCAAATCGTGCGACGATGCTAATCAAAGGATACTCGTGCACTTGAAACTACCTACGTTTTCATTCTTATATTGTATTTTCGTACAAATGTCTGTTAATTTTATAGATCAAAAATTAATTTTTTTTCTATAATAAATAGGTTAAAATCTCGTATTTTATTTTGTTAGAAATGGCACCAGTCCCCAGGGTCACCACCGATCGCAGAGACCTTTTGTCAAAGGCAACTAAATATAATACATATATTCGGCACTATTTTTTTGTAGGTAAGAAGTAATTCCGAAAATTGGCGCGGTCGTCGACATTTGGTGTCCAAATATTAGTAGTAATATTGCAAGCACTCAAATCCATGTTGAATAATGTGTGAAAGGGAGAACTTCCATTACTTTATTATTACACAAAGAATAAAATGTTAAAATTAGACCTGCTTTGAGGGCTCTAAACTGGCCTAACCCCTTAAGCAGCTTTGACGAGACCGACGATTGTTATTTAAAACTACACGCAATTGCATTATTGAATTTATAATTACTCGACAATATACCCCAAGTGAATTCATAATAACTCAACAGTGTTCAATTTACATATACCATATGATCACATTTGACCCGGACTGACAAAAAAAAACTTCAAAATAGGCTCCTGATACAATACAAGCATACCAACGCAATCTAGATAAAAGTTTGTATTGATTCGGTTTGTGCGCGCAGTTTAAATGGACCAATCCGGGTCAAATTCGATGATCAGATACTGTATGTTTAACTAATTTTTACTAGAGCTAACTTTTACAGTAATAAATACATAATATATAAAGGGATAATAATTAAATTCGATTTGAAAAAATTTTTAACCAACATTTGGAAGTTAGTTTTGTGTGCCTAAACATATTTTTAAACTTCAAATGTTTAGCTTTTTGAAGACTCAACAAATAAACTGCTGATATATTATATACACGAATAGAGAAAAATCTGAGTTGCCGTTGAGATAATAAATCAATTGTGTTCAAGCACATTTTAAGCTGTTATAGCTGTATAGTTATATATATATTTATATGTAAAGGGTCTACCAATAAGGACGACGTGATGTTTAAATTAAATAAAACACTCAAATTTGGTCAAAATTAGTTCTTTTTTTTTTGTGTTATGCAGATAATTTTATGCCATTTGAAATTTGTACAAAATGTAGGGCAAATATCCACCGGCTCTTTTTGCATATCTTTACCCGTTTACGTCAATTGTCGTTGACCGGGTGCAGCATTTCGGCTATAATGCGCTGATTGTTGTTTTTGAGCTCCTTGAACGTTGCTAGTTGATTGGCGTAAACCTTTGATTTAACATACCTCCAAATAATCTAAAGTTGTTTAATAGCATGATCTTGGCGTCGATTTGACTGGGCATTTTTCGAAATTAACGAGTCGTCAAACTTTGAAGGCGATTTGCCCATGTTTAGACTTGAAACATAAGGCGGGGCACCGGGAAAAAGTCGGTTAATATCGTTTTATAATGCTCGGTATTGATGGTAACGGCATTTTCTGCCTCATTTCGAAATAAATAAGACCCGTTGATGCCGCCATATCACCATCCGCATCAAACGGTTAATTTTTAGGGATGCAATTACGTTCCCTGAACCACACGAGAATTTGACTCACCCCAACAGCGACAATTTTGTTTGTTGACGAAGATATTAAGTCAGAAATGGACCTCATCTGAGCATCATGATTTTTCGATGAACACGAATTTGGGAATTTTTCGGAGAACGTAAATTTTCGTAATAATCTTGGACAATTTCCAAGCGTTGTACCAAAGTAAAACGTGACATAATGAAATGGCAAACTTTACTAAACACACTGACAAAATTTAACATAAATCCGTAAACAAACATGGCCGTCACGAGCTGTCAAAATCACGTCAACGATATTGGTAGACGCTGTATTTATAAAATCTGTATACACTTATGTAATATTATTTTTGAAGCGTTTTTTAAATAAATTTTAACGATGATATACGATCAGTACTAATGTTTTATATTGTATAATATATTTTTTTGTTCTTGTCAGAACTATTTTAAAACAGCGAGGAAATGAACAGCGCCTGATTTTTACATTGAAAATAAGTTTTCATACTTTTTTATTTCGACTCTTCTCGCCGCTTTGAGCAAATTCAAATGACATAATCTATTAAATTACTTTAGATTTATAATCATAAGCCTTTTTATAGCCAAATGGATATTAACATTATTGCTCCTATCGTGAGCTCAGGGCGAATAAACCAATAAACTTTTAATTGGCAAATTCTCTAGTTGAACTTCTCATCTCTCTTCTGTAAAAGTAAATGAAAGAGATGCAAAAATTGCAAGAATTGTTTTCGAATCCACATGTCCACTATGTCCTTCTACCTCGGACGTTCGGTGAGAATGGAAAGAAATTGAACCACAATGAAGACATAATTGCCAACACTGAGACCGATTTTGAAGCAAAGGACTAATCGTATTACAAAAATTATACGAAAAAACAGATCCCTAAAGTTGAAGTCGAATTTTGCCTAAACAATTTATGTAATGTTTAAAAAAAGTTGTGGGTATGCCTACCGGCTAACGAGATCATTTGGAATTCATTTTAGCCGAGTTATGAACCCACCCTTTTCTACTTAGTCGGCATAAGCGATCGCTGAAGACCATTCTAGAAGTATACAAGTCCTTTAATAAGAAGTCTTAATAAAGTAAATGAAAAAGTTTATAGACATGCGATAACATTTATATATTTATTCAATACACCAATAATATAATATTATATATAATACACATATATACATATTTATTTCTTATAGCGTGCAATTATAATTTCTATGACAAATACAATAAAGGCAATAAATTCACCGCAGAAAAGTAAAAAGAAAACAATACCAAATTTTTCCAGATCCAAACTTTTAGGATTACCGCCACGCTGTATTTTCGCGGGTCCTTTGGAATCCGTTAGAGCATTGCCATACCAACGTGAAATTAAGCCACTGCTGCGTATCATTGCAATGACGGAGTTGAATGGCTTGACGAGATACGAATGATGTTGAAAATACGCACAAATCTCCGGTAGTTGCACCGTTTCGGGAACCTGATCGAAAACGCCAATTAGCTGCCGCTTGCGTTCAAAATAATGCATACGCGCAATAGTCGCCAGTGTAGCCACATTGCCAGTTGAATTCAAAAGCTCCTCAAAGACCGAATTCGCATTTGAAGAATTAATGTATTTAATGCGGTTTTCAGGTATATTCATATCAGGCAACCAATAATTCAGAGTCATTGTGTTGTGCACCAAAAATGTAAAATTATTACGCTGCAAATCATTTATGGTGTGTGGCAAGCCTGGTGACGGCCGATTGTATGAAACGAACAATTTTGCTTGGTAAGCGCTGCTAATAAACACAAAACCGACATACCAGAAAGTAATGCCGAAGCGTACTAAGTAATTTCTGGTTAAAACTACACGAGGTTCGCCGAAAACGCTACCAATAATATCCAACCAATTTCCATATTGATAACGCAAGTGTAACACACACATAAACGAAATAACGGTGGCCACCATTAGCAGCAGCGCTAGCCAAGTGTTCAATTGGAAGGGATCCAACATCCACATGTGGTCGGGCGGCGGCGGTTGACGCTTTACAATAACAACCAAAGCGGTGGTGAAATACGATAAACCCTCCTCCAAGAAGGCAATGCGATGTGCAGCATAGAAGAAATAACCCATAAGTACGTCAACATGATTTTGATCCAATTGATAGTAGGGACCAGTCATTGTACCGTTAGAATAAACATCACCACAATCATAGGCAGAACTTATAATCGGTTCTATGCGAAAATTCAAATGCTCGGCAATGGCGTTCAATAGTTTCGCCTCGACGCCTTTCATTATTATAGTACCGTTATTGTTTTCTTTATGGTATGTGAAAAATGGCGGCACATTACGTGATAACACACGTAAACTGCAGTTATGAAAGTTTCTCAATTTATTTGGAAAGAGTTCGGAGTTATTAAAACGTCCATTTATAAACCAATTAACAATTGTCGGCTTCACAATGCGACAATGTTCTTTGCCGAACACTTCGAACGTGTACACGGAATAGCCCTTCCCTACGGTGTTCGGTGTTATAATGATTACATCGATAATGTTGATTGAGAACATTTTTACAAGAATTTTTTGTATATGCCAGGCGGCATTCTTTTCCTTGATTTGTTCTAAGATAATGGCATAGAACCCTGCGTTGCTGCTGAAATGCTCCTTTTTGTACGGTAAAATGTTGCTAAATGAGAAAAGAAGAGCGAAGTGGGTAAGGTACAACAATAATTATACCCGAGCACAAATTCCCCTTATTCACTATTAAAACATCAAATGGTTCAAATATCACAAATATGTGATAATCGTAATGGGAACTGAAACCATTATTTGGATTATAAGCTTCTTCGTCTCAGAATGCATTCAGAGTTTTAACTATAAATCTATCCAACACATTGCAACCTTATTTAGGACCAATAATATAATTTCGGTGATCTAATGGGAAAGCGAAGTGAATATACATATATAATATTATATATCCTCTCATTTGCAAATGGCAACGCGTGAGGTTGCCAGTAAAGACTTGGTGATCCCTGTTATCGCTAGCGAGGCTCTGTCGACCGAGTACAGAGACGGTATATCCATCTACTTGCACAGAGAAAAGTGAGTTGCATGAAATTCATTCGATAGTTTTCTTTAATTATGAAAGATAATTGTATAGCATTATTGGAGTCAAAGTTGAAGAGTCTGTTGCGTGAAGCTCTATGTAATTATTATTATAGTTTAGGCTGATATATTCCTATATGTTGTAATTTTTTTAGGCAGAATTAAGTGCTATAAAAAACTCTAAGGAAGTTTTTATGAGGTATGTTGGACCATAGTCGGAGAGCCATCCGAACCGATGAGGCCTTGAAATCGGTTAACGGTGAGGTTGACAGTTATCGGCAAAAGGTTTCATACTATCTTAATAATGCTTGCTTTGGATCTCTTCTATGTTTCAGAATTCTTCCACTCCACTCATAGAATTGTGATATCCGAAAAACTATATCTAAATGGTTAAATACTCTCCAGGTGTTGTATTCAGTTAGAAAAGTCGATAAAAATCTTAAGCTGAACTCCAAGAATTCAATTTTGAAACAGATTAAGTTAAACTTTTAATCGTACTAACAAAAAGTATCATCAGAACTATAAAATTAATAAACTGAGCAATGCAATAATTTTTTGGATTCTTCAATATGTTTTTCGTGGAACACTTGGCCACAGATATTTTGAGTATATAGTACATATATATATATAGTAAAAAGTTCCATAACCTTTCGTGATTACATTGATGGTGCCATAAATACATTATTTTCTAAAAAAAAAAACTTTAAACTTACTCCAATGCCTCAAACGAGTCCACATACCACAAATTATGCAGAAAATCTTTATTATTGCGAAGATACTTATCGCCAATGGTTATGCGAAAGGTAAGCTTAGTCGAATTTCGTAGCGCATCTGTTAGATGATGTAAAATAACATACTTCCAAATGATGGCCCTTTTCAAATGAACTCGCACGTGTAAGACATTTGTTTTCTCTTCGAAGTATTGCTTGATGGCTTCTTCGAGAGTTGGACCATGATGGTGTGGCATAACATGCCAATGTGGTGCTGAAGTAGAGGGTTTTGATGCCACTCGTAAAACAAACACGGCTATGGTCGCAAGAATTGAATATTTCACAATTAACATACTTGCTGGACTTCTAAAGTAAAACTGAAATAATTTCAACTTTCTTTGCAAAAGTGCCAACTAGAACGTGTAATTACAAAATGTAAAATGCAAATCACGGTAACTTATTGGACATACGATGTTGTGAAATATTTATGAGAAGAATTTTGAATTTTATTCTTAACGAAAAGCTTTAAGAGAGTTAATAAGTGAAGAAGTTATTAAATTTAATGAGCTAATTTTTTATATCTTGATAAATATTGTTTAAATTATGGTTGAAGTCGCATTAATTATTAGATGTTTGTTATGTTCTGACTTAATTTTATACAGAAAAATATCGTCATATATTTTCTTTTTAACCTCAATTTAAAAAGGGGAAGGAAAACATGTAAAGGAGGGAAACGCTCTGGTGTAGCCAAACATTATAAAGGCAAGGAGTACTTTTGGACTGATTCCATCCAGTTAAGCAGGTCGTCTACTTTTGCGTTCGGAAAAACTGTATTTTTATACTCTCGCAATCTGTTGCTACAGAGTATAATAGTTTTGTTCACCTAACGGTTGTTTCTATCACCTAAAACTAATCGAGTTAGATATAGGGTTATATATATATAAATGATCAGGATGAAGACACGAGTGAAATCTGGGTGACTGTCTGTCCGTCCGTCCGTGCAAGCTCTAACTTGAGTAAAAATTGAGATATCTTTATAAAACTTAGTAGACATGTTTCTTGGTACCGTGAGACAGTTAATATTGCAGATGGGCGTAATCGGACTACTGCCACGCCCACAAAACGCCATTAATCAAAAACAAATAAATTGCCATAGCTAAGCTCCGCAATAAGATACAAGACTGTTATTTGGTACACAGGATCACATTAGGGAGGGGCATCTGCAGTTAAAATTTTTTTTTAAAGTGGGCGTGGTCCCGCTTTTAATAGGTTTAATATGCATACCTCCTAAACCGCTAATGCTATGATAACAAAATTCACTGGCAGCAAATGTTTTTAGAACCTCTACGAACAGTGTGAAAATAGTTGAAATCGGGTGGCAACTCCGCCCACTCCCCATATAACGGTACTGTTAAAAACTACTAAAAGCGCGATAAATCAAGCACTAAACACACCAGAGACATTAAATTTTATCTCTGGGATGGTATGAGATGACTTTATAGGAACCGCGTTCAAAATTAGTCAGTGGGCGTGGCACCGCCCACTTTTAGGTGAAAACCCATATCTTGAGATCTGCTTCATCAATTTCAACAAAACTCGGTGTATAACGTTCTTTTCATATTTCTATGTTATATTGCGAAAATGGGCGAAATCGGACTACAACCACGCCTATTTCCCATATAACACCATTTTCTATTCCATCTGATTCTTTCACTTTCCACTATGCATATCAAGCAACAATGATTATATCGGGGTAAAACTTTGCGTGAATAATACTTTTAAAGTATGCCACCTTGTGACCAAAAATTATCTAAATCGAACCAAAACTGTTCAAGCTCCTAAGTACTAAATATGTACCCAGTGCCTATAGTTGACCTTCTACCGAATATATCAGTTATTCCACAAAGAAATCTCAAACGAGTATACCATTTGATTTTGCGAGAGTATAAAATGTTCGGTTACATCCGAACTTAGGCCTTCCTTACTTATTTTATTTTGCATTCACATCGCTCCCTCAGCTTTAACCGCATTTACCAAAAATAGTATTTTTTTTTAAATTTTGGTTATCTATAAATTGTTACTGATTGACAAACATCTTGCTTTGTTTAGATACGAGAGTTTTTGAATTTTTTTTAAGCTTGAAAAACATGGTCACAAAATGCACTTGTTTGAATCGCTGCCATTTTTGTGAGATTTCTTAAATGCAGAAAAGCTTGTGTCTAGTCATAAGTTATAAACATTAAGTAAAACAGGAAACGAATATTTATACTCTTGCAACTTGCAAGGATCAAAGCAGAGAAAATACATTCAGTTGTAGCAAAATTTTATATTAAACTAGAAAAAAATGTTAAATTCCTCAGTACCGAAGCTCTAATACCTTTTACAGGGGCATTTCTTATGGCATATAAGTGTATAAACAGACCTTTATCTTGATATTGATCAATTAGTTTGTATGGCAGCTATATGCTATAGGGTATATGCAGCTTCTTGGAAAAAAAGAACGTGGGCAACTTTGTTTACACTTTAAGGGGTCAATTACCCATTTGTTTTCATTTATTAGGTCAATTACCCTTTTGCTTAAACTTAGCCAAGTCCACAACCTTTGTTTACACTTAGCCAAGTCAACAACTTTTGATTACCTTTTGGGGTCAATGACCCTTTTGTTTACATTTAATAGGATCAATGACCTCATCATTGTGATTCGTTGCCCAAATTATAGTTTTATATCTTAATTTGCGGTTTAGTTATCGCAATTTATAAATTTTCAATTATTAGCTTTTTGTAGATTACAATACCGATCTGCTTATGGTGCCAAGGAATATGTACCCTAAGTTTCATTAAGATGTCTTAAGTTTTACTCAAGCTACAGCTTGTACGGACAGACTAGCGGACGGTCGGACAGGCAGTCACTCGTATTTTAACTCATATCGTCAACCCGATCACTAATATATGTATATATAATACTATATCTATCTCGATTAGTTTTGTGTGATACAAACAACCGTTAGGTGAACAAACCTATTATAATCTGCAGCAACATGTTGCAAGAGTATAAAACAAGAGTGATATACAAGTATTTTAATAAAACTGAAGTGCTTTTTAAGAAGTAACGTGGTCTCGTATCATCGGTCTATCCGTTCTCCTAACTCCTACATAGCCAATGATTCACCAATTTTAAATTCATATGCAACATTGTTGCAGGGGTATACAAATATTGCATATGAATTCACAATTCACACTTGTTGCACAAAAATATAAAGTTTCGGGACATCAAGTTACAAGGTAGGCTACAAAACAGTGCAGAGAATCATACTAGGAGCATGTGGTTTAAAAGAATTGTTAAGTGGATGGCATTTTAAAAGTGTCTGACGTACTGATATTACAGTTTGAAAATACTTCCCATTTATTTCTTCACTTTATTTTCTTGAAATAATGAAAAGTAAGTTGACTAATTATTTTTTTTATAAAAAATGCTATTTAATTGTGACAAGCGAAACGTTTATTAGCGATATTTACTCCTCACATACTGTAAAATTCCACGCCGTTACCTTTACCACAACGAAAAAAAAAAAACTTGTTTCAACTTTTGCTTTTCCATTCATTACAGGCTTGCACTTAACATTGATCTAGATTTTTATTGTGGATTTGACATTGAACTGTATCACAATAGTCCACATTATCGAGCATGACACTTCAGCTGTCACGTAAATTTTTTTGCTCTAGTGTCATAAGCAAATACAAATGCGATACTTA